CCAAGCAACCCGACTCCGAGAAGCCCCGGGCCCGGCGCGCCGGGGGGCCGCTACCGGCCTCACACCGTCCGCGGGCTGCGGCCTCGATCACAAGGACTTGGGTCCCCCGAAAGCGCCGCCGGGGAGGGGGGCTTCTGTACGCCACATGGCCCGCGCCCCACCGCGGGGCGGGGATTCGGCGCTGGGCTCTTCCCTCTTCACTCGCCGTTACTGAGGGAATCCTCGTTAGTTTCTTTTCCTCCGCTGACTAATATGCTTAAATTCAGCGGGTCGCCACGTCTGATCTGAGGTCGCAAGCCCGAGGGAACGAGAAAAGAAAAACAAAAAAGCACGCGCCGACGGCCGGCACGCGCCGCCACCGCGGGCGGCCGAGCCCCAGCCCGGAAACGGCCCGAAAGCACGCGGCGCGCGCGCGCACGCGGAGACGGCCCGCCGCGGGACGGCCGGGAGACCCGCTCGGGGAAAGAGAGGCGCCGAGAGGGTGGCGGCGGGAACGACGTCCCCGGCACCCCCCCCCCCCCCCGCTTCGCGGCGCGCGCGCGCGGCAGCACGGCGCGGTACCGCCGCGGTACCCACCCGCAGACAGCCGCCCGGCGCGGGAAGCGGGAAACCGGGGGCGAGGCACGCGCCTCCGCACCTTAACCGCCTCTCTACCCACCGCCGCGACGGGCCCGACCGGCCGGCCGAACCCCCCCCCGCGGCGCCCACGACGGGACGAGCTCCGCCGAAGCGGGCGCTCCGGGAGCGGGGAGCTTCGGAGCGCTCCCCGAGTCTCCATTTAGGGGGACGAAGGCCACGCGCGCGGGCGGGCCTGCGAGGCGCCCCAGCCGCGCCGCGCCGCGCTGCGCCGCGGCAGCGCAGCCGGCGATTGATCGTCAAGCGACGCTCAGACAGGCGTAGCCCCGGGAGGAACCCGGGGCCGCAAGTGCGTTCGAAGTGTCGATGATCAATGTGTCCTGCAATTCACATTAATTCTCGCAGCTAGCTGCGTTCTTCATCGACGCACGAGCCGAGTGATCCACCGCTAAGAGTCGTCTGCCTTTCGGCACCGTCCCGCGAGCGCGGGAGGGCCGGGACCGCTCGCCGAAAGCGGCCCCTTTTATCTCTTGAGGACGGCCCCGCCGGGCGCGCGCCCGCCCGACGCCGGGCGAACGGACCGCCCGACGGGAGCCTCGCCTCGGCTGACCGTACGAGCACACACGGAGAAAAGGGGTTGAACGGGAGGTTGGGGGGGGGAAAAAACCCAAAATCTACTCCGAACGGCAAGGCCGGGGAGCCCGCGCTCCCGACCGACCTGGGAAACGCACCTTGCTCGCTTCGGAGGCGGCCCAGGCGCCCGGGCTCGGTACGGTCTTCTCACGGAGGCGGCGGCGCGGCCGCCCGCGCCGCCCGCCCGCCCCGTCGCCTCGAGACACGGATGGTGCTGCCGCTCGCTCGCTCGGCGGGAGCGGCAGCGGGGGCGCGCCCCACCGGACCCGCGCGCGCGCGCGCTCCTCCGCCGCCTGACGCCAAACCGGCGCGCGCCACCCCCGAAGCCTCGGCGCTCGCCCCGCCGGCACCTCCGCGGCTCCACCGCCGCGCCGGAGAAGCGGCGACCACCGGAGCCCCACACCCCCGCGGCTGGCGCGGCGCCTCCGCCGCCCGCGGGGCCGCCCGACGGCACCCGTCCACCGGGACGGGCCGGCCGCCCTCCCGGAACCGCCGCCGCCTGTCACCCCTCCGCTCACCTCGCCGCGAGCACACGGGCCGGGCACGAAAGGCAGGCGGCTCTGAGCCGGGCTGAGGGGGGGGGGGTGGGGGCAGCGCTCGCTCTCCCCGTTTCCACGCGGAGACCGACAGTCAGCCGCCCTCCCCCCCCCCCCCCGCCGGCTGCCCGCCCCCCTTCCTTGCCCGGCTCGGCCGGGGAGGGCAGGCAAGGGACAGCGACGGGGGAGGCCCGGCCCGGGACGGCCGTCGCGACCGGTGGCGGGCACCCTCCGGGACGACCGGCGCGCGGAGCGGCGGTGGTACCGCCGCCGCCGGGGGCGGCGGGCCGGGGTGCCGACGTCGCCGGCAGCCGGCGGCGGGGGGACCGCCGAAGGCTTCGGCCGGCCGGCGCCGAGGAACGGAGCGCGCCGGAGCGCGAGCGCGGCGCCGCGCCGCGCCAGGGGGTCGGACTGAGGCGCGGCGGCGACCCGACGGTCGCCCGGGCGAGACCCCGCCGGCGCGGGGAACTCGCCGATCCCCGACCCCCGACGGTGAGCCCGCGCTCCCGCCGGGGGGTCGTCCGCTCGAGGCGGGCGGGTCGAGCGCGCGGCCGACAGCGCCGCGGCTCTCTTCCGCCGAGACCGGACCGCGGAGAGAGGGGGGGCAGCGGGACCCCCTCCCCGGCGCGGCTGCCCGGCGGCGGGAGCGAGCGCGGGCGCCGGCCCCCTCCCTCAGGGGCTCCGCGGGAGCGACTCCCACCCCTGAAGGCGGCGCCGCCGCCACGCACCCGCAACCCGGCCCTACCGGGTCGACGCCGAGCCGCCCGAGTCTTTAAACCCCCGCCCGGCTCCGCGGCCTCCGGCCCCCGCCCGGCGGCGGGGACGGACGGACGGCCGCGCGAGCGCGGGCGCTAGGTACCTGGCCCTGGGGTGAGGGAAACGACCCGAAGGGCCCCGCGGGGGTGCCTCCCCCGGCTGCCGCCGGCGGGGGAGCGTCCGCCCGCAGGGGCGCGCCCGACGTCCGCCGCCACCACCTCCGTCCTCCTTCGACCGGGACCCGGGGTTTCCCTCAGTAGCCCGGCGCTGCGCCCGGGAGGAGACACGGGGCTCGGACCGCCAACCCGGCTCGGCTCGGCTCGGGAAGGCGGACCGGCGGCGGACCGGCGCCGGCCGCGATAGCGGCGGGCGGGCGGGGGGGGGGAGCGGTCGCGCGCGAGGACCGGCCCCCAGGCCCCGCGGAAGCCCCCCCTCCTCCTTCCTTCTCCCACGCTGGGGCCCCGCCCCGACCCCCCCCTTCCTCCCTCCAGAGGGGTGAGGGGACGACGGAGGCGGAGCGGGGAGAGGAGGAGGAGGAGGAGGAGCATCGCGGAGCCTTGGCCCCGCCCCTCCACCGTCGCCGCGGCCCCGCCCCCCGCCGTCGCCGCGGCCCCGCCAGCAGGGGGCGCGCGGAGCCCGGAGGCTGCGACGGTAGCGGGGGGGGGGTGGGGGAGATGAGCGGAAACGGGAAGCCCGCGGCGCGCGCGCCCGGGGCCCCCCCGCGGGGACCCCCCCTCTCGGCGCGCGACCGCAAGGCGAGCGGAACGGAGTCGAGCGGCGCGGCGCGGCGCGGCCGGACGCCCGGCGCGCACCAGCGCCCCCCTCCGGTAATGATCCTTCCGCAGGTTCACCTACGGAAACCTTGTTACGACTTTTACTTCCTCTAGATAGTCAAGTTCGACCGTCTTCTCGACGCTCCGGC